GTGCTGCCCGTTGCATACAATTTAAAACAAAAACCTTTGTCAACATGTATACTTATACGTTTCTCAGAAATAAAAGTCGTTTACTGTCAAAGAGCTAGATGCGAAATCAATCTGACTTCGTTCATTTGTCGGCGTACGCTTCGATTCTCGAGTACGATTTATTTGCAATTGATTTTCACTTCAATTATTTTCCCGCTCGCAATTGATGGAAAAGTCGCCTTGATTAACTGCATGCAAGAGTAACATGTTATTTTTCTAGTCTGATTTGCGGTACAGGCACATGGCCACCAGGCCAATGTACTTGCTGCCCACAGCCTGGGCTCAGGTATTCCCATTCCGCATTTCATATGTTGCTAATGAGTGAGAGTCGTACGGACTCTTTCAATTCGATTGCCAGTTGTGAATTGTCTGCGGCTTTGGCAACTTGGGACTTTTGCGAGGCACGATTGAGGAGTACATTTCAGCTGCGTAGCCATTGCGCACAATGGGTGGACCTCACACTCAAAGTGTTTCCAATGAATATCGCTCTGTAACAGTGCTGAAGTCATCTTTTACCAAAGTCAATGGAGCAGACGTTCTCTCTGCTCGACTTTTTGCCTTTTCCCATGCTGGGGGACAGTTCGTTCACTTGCTTTGAGCCGAAAATGTTGGGAACATCAACAGATGCTGCTCAAAAGTTCGTTACGTGTGCGAAAACTTTGATGCCAGAAAATCTTGGTCTATTGTTCAAGGTTCTCCGAGCACTGTTTGACATTTCGACTGCGTTGTCGTTGTAGGTCCTCACTATCGATACATACATAATGTCAGCAACAGAGTTCAATAATCTGTGCGCTCTTTGGCAGACTTAATTGAAGAAGTGCACTTATCTAAATCTTTCCGTTGCTGGATCTAACTAATTGGCCCCCAGCTAAGCCAACAAACAGTGCTTCGCGTGTACGTAAGCTATTTCCCAGAGATTAATGAACTCAGTGTCCAAGTGCTACTCCAAGTAGATATAATATGCTTACACAAGGCGTGTGGCCAACTTGAGATGAGCCGTCTTGTTGAATGTATCAAAGGGAAGGAATCTCAATTTATTGGTATAAATCGGACTCAAGTTGAGTTGTTTAAAGAAGAGGCAAAAATATAATTCGACATTAAGTAGACAGCTTAGATAGTCTTGGTATAATATACAACAATAATAATATGATTCTCAATTTATAAGAGATTTATATTTATAAATAAATCAGGCAAAAATAATAATGCTGAAACATAAAGCTTAGTCCAAGTATTTTAGTATTTTCTCATGTATTCCAGTGCACTCAAGCTTTCATATTCGGAGTGCAATATTTGCTATCAATATGGACGCTATTGAAACATTTTCGCTTTGTGAACGCAAAGGCTGATGCCATAATCTAAATTCCAATACGCTGCTGTACCCTTGGCTAGTCCTGTGCAGCGTCTAGACAAGGATATATGGCAACATTTATTTGGCACAAATGTTTAAAGTTCAACTCGGCAACAAAACGTTTGGTGCGTGCCCCGTGGGATATGCGCACGACGGGGGCGGGGTCATCGGGCAGT